TATTATGGTAGTATTTTTGAGGGAGTGAAACAGTACATAGGATCTAGGTATTATGGTAGTATTTTACAGGGAGTGGAACAGTACATAGGATCTAGGTATTATGGTAGTATTTTACAGGGAGTGGAACAGTACATAGGATCTAGGTATTATGGTAGTATTTTATAGGGAGTGGAACAGTACATAGGATCTAGGTATTATGGTAGTATTTTATAGGGAGTGAAACAGTACATAGGATTTAGGTATTATGGTAGTATTTTACAGGGAGTGGAACAGTACATAGGATCTAGGTATTATGGTAGTATTTTATAGGGAGTGGAACAGTACATAGGATCTAGGTATTATGGTAGTATTTTAAAGGGAGTGGAACAGTACATAGGATCTAGGTATTATGGTTGTATTTTATAGGGAGTAGAACAGTACATAGATTTTAAGTACAGAGGTAATTTAATAAAATTTATTCACCGTTTACTTAATCATTGCGACTCATGAAATCACTGTAAGGAATGTATAGTTTTGGATCCCATTAGGTGAATTGTTTGTAGTTAATGCAGTGCAACCAACATTACATCTATGACAAGATCTTGCTCATACACAGGATCATAGTACCATATTTGCTCTATTACATAAACAGCTCTAATAGAAGTACATTCAATAGAAAAAAATGTTCTTATGTACTAAATTATTAATTTTTTTTAGAAATTTAAAAACTACCATTGATGCGAAAACATGTTTCCAATTTTTTTTTACCTTGCATATATTCCACTGACAATATTTTGCTGTAACTGATTAGTTGGTGTTGTTGGTCCTGCTGCCTTGGAAACCAATAGTACTATTAATCCACGGGTCTGCATTGTGTTTCTTCCATCATAAATAAATGTCCTACAAAAAAATATCAACTTATTGTGCATTGACAAATGAAACAGAGCAATCTCAACATAATTTAAATTTTCAATGTTCTTTGTTTGCAATGTACCAGATTTATCTTAGGGTGTTTAGTTTGCAATGTACCAGATTTATCTTAGGGTGTTTAGTTTGCAATGTACCAGATTTATCTTGGTGTGCTTTGATTGCAATGTACCAGATTTATCTTAGGGTGTTTAGTTTGCAATGTACCAGATTTATCTTAGGGTGTCTAGTTTTCAATGTACCAGATTTATCTTGGTGTGCTTTGATTGCAATGTACCAGATTTATCTTGGTGTGCTTTGATTGCAATGTACCAGATTTATCTTGGTGTGCTTAGTTTGCAATGTACCAGATTTATCTTGGTGTGCTTAGTTTGCAATGTACCAGATTTATCTTGGTGTGCTTTGATTGCAATGTACCAGATTTATCTTGGTATGCTTAGTTTGCAATGTACCAGATTTATCTTGGTGTGCTTTGATTGCAATGTACCAGATTTATCTTAGTGTGCTTTGATTGCAATGTACCAGATTTATCTTGGTGTGCTTTGATTGCAATGGTAACTAAACAAAGGCAGCCTGATGGTCGGAATAGCTCTGCTGTCCTTAACTGCCTGTTTGGCCTGTTGTTACAGGATGATGGCCTGCTATTAAATGCATTTGTGAAACCCTTGTATCAGTTATAAAGTATCTATGGTATTTGGGTACATAAATAATGATATATTCAACTACCATGGTTCATATAAAATGCTAGAAGTTTAGTGATGAACATGTTTGTTGACATAACACTTCCCAAGTAGATGCAAAATCCTCCTCTGTCAATGAAGACATGTCATTCAACAGCTGACCTTTACTATTCTTAATAGTACATGGCTAAAATGAGAATATGCTACATATTCCTTGCATGCATGAAAGTATGCTAAATCCTATTACCAGTAAATTGAGGATGTGGCAGTTTCCCTGGAAGTAAAATACATTTAATTAGACTCCCAGAATACCGTAAAATCTGTATTAGAAGCCACATCCCTATAGAAGTCTTTTTGCATAATTGAGAACCAAACATTCACAATTTCTCATATGTTTAGTTGCTCCAATAAAAGCCGCATCCCCTCTGTTGCATTGTACCATTTTAATTGAAAGCCGCGGTTTCTAATACAGATTTTACAGTAGTTGTTCTGAACCATCTCAACCTATATATTTTATGAAAGCCCAGCCCATAAATAAAAATTAATGTTATATCAGGCACAACCCCAAGTTAGTTGTTAAATATACATTTTGTATTATTGAGATTTTGAATCGGTATTGTGAAGAAATTGTTATTGTGTTCATTGAAATAAAACACTAGAAAAATATAGGTCAAAATGATTTTGTGTAACTTTTCAGATCTAAATTTGTGTTTTACTAGTTTGGGGTGCCCGTACATTCGGGCATTAAAATCTATAGAATGCATAAATTTATAAAAGTATGCTGAAGACTTATTGTTCCTGTAAATATCATAGTTACATGTATCATTTCATAGTTATATGTTGTAGATAATACATGTATAAAGCTATCATTTCATAGTTATATGTTGTAGATAATACATGTATAAAGCTATAATTTCATAGTTATATGTTGTAGATAATACATGTATAAAGCTATAATTTCATAGTTATATGTTGTAGATAATACATGTATAAAGCTATAATTTCATAGTTATATGTTGTAGATAATACATGTATAAAGCTATAATTTCATAGTTATATGTTGTAGATAATACATGTATAAAGCTATAATTTCATAGTTATATGTTGTAGATAATACATGTATAAAGCTATAATTTCACGTCACGAGCCACGTGACAGAGGTAATGAGGGTGACATCATATTGCCTCCTGATCACTTCTGTTTTTTTTTCTCCACACAGAGACACTAAGCCAACGCTACAGAAAAGTGGGGTGGTCGGGAGGGACCTGGAGTCTATGGTGGGTATGAACTATGAATAGGCGGGTTGAAAACCCCCCTGCCTAAATCAGGTTAGTCAGAATGACTATTTTGAACTGTAGGAAGAGTAGTCAGACCCCGATAGGTGGCGGGTTTCCGAGCGAGCAGAAAAACAAAAAATGGGTGTCCCAGTCCGAGATAATACACTCCATTTACAAGTTAAGACCAATGAAGAAATGGTGTTTTACCTTGCCAGTGTCGTCCCTGGAACAAAAAGCAAAATGCTGAAATGGTGACAGGCTTCGGTTTGCCGAAGCGCTGATGAGAGAAATCTCTTCGCAAAAAAACGTGCTGCCGAGACTGTTTTATCACCTATGTGCAGGGATCCCTGTGGTCGTCCTGGCTTGGTCAGTAACCAAAGTCTGACCCGCTATGATCGGACCCACCCTAAAATGATCCTCTTCAATGGATTGGGCACTCTTAGGTAGTAGTTGATAAAGACATTTTGCAATTTCCAGAAGCCTGGCCTCAGCACATGCTTGAGGGGGGGGGGGGCACCTGACGCAAGAGCTAATGAGTTAGCAATCACATGGACCTCATGCGCTCATACTTGGTGTCTCTGCAGACTCTGTGTCGAGGAAGCCAAACAGTTATAAACTTCCAACACGGTCGCAGTGATCCACCTGGCAATGTGTTGTGTCTTTAGCATGACGTGATTGTCAAAAGTGGCACACCCGTCCGAGAAGGACAAGACCCCTAGCTCAGACCAATGCCTACCTGAGGCGAGGGCTAGTAGGAAGAGGCTGGTCTGCACAGAGTGGACAACACAACCAACGAGTTCCAATAGGGCAGTTCCCTCATTCGGGGTCTTGGCCTCTGATTATGGAAAGCAGTAAACAGTCTCCTAGTAATAGGACAATAGGCTAGCCTTGTTCCCAAAGAATTCTTAATGGTGGGTGACAAGGCCGATCTATAGCCAATGATCGCTGAATAGGACAAGGCCAGTTCGTCAAACAGATGAAAAAATCAGCTACCTGGTCAACAGCAAGATGGCATAGATCAATCTCCCTTCCGCTACACCAATCAGTGTTCACTCACCATTTTGAGTCATAGGCTGCGTTGGTGGAATCCCTGTTCACCCTGGACAGGACGTTGGCAGCCCGCTCAGATAAACCTTCTGTCTGTGAAAGTCTACTGAGAGCCTCTATGCATGTAAGTGATACACTGCTGGACTCATTGATAGTGCGCCATCTGGTTTAAACAGCAGGTCTGATAAGTCCAGAAGCAATACTGGTGTTTTGACTAACATTTCCAACAGTAGTGTAAATCAGGCCTTGGTTGGCCAGTTGGGCACCACCAGCGTCAAAATGCAGGTGTGCTTCTGTAGAAGTTTCTCCAGTATCCGGTGAATTAGTGGGAAGGGAGGAAAGGCATACGCATCCATGTGGGTCCACGGGATAGACAAAGCGTCCATGACCCAGGCTCCTGGAGTCGACAGGATTGTCACATATGTCGGGAGATTGGCATTCAGGGGTGTGGAAAACAGGTCTATCTTTGGGCCGTCCCACAACCGGGCAGAGAAGCAATTCCTCCTGATCCCCCGGGCCGATAAAATTTGACAGCCGGGGGATGATGATCGGGTGAGGATTGTATCCTGGGATTTGCTTTTTGGTGAGAAACCTGATTCGTGTCTTTAGCACAACTTGATTGTGCATAAAGGTGGTACGTTGGGTGCGACCAATGACAATATGCAGGTGTGCACCCGTCAAAGTTCTCTCCGGTGCCCGGTAAACTAGCGAGAAGGGAAGAAAGGCCTACACATCTATGTGGGTCCACGGGGTCAGCAAAGCGACCCTGGCCCAGGCTCCTGAGGTTGACAGGAGTGTTGCGCACATCAGGAGCTTGGCATTCTGGGGTGTGGCAAACCAGCCTATCTTTGGACCGTCCCACAGCTAAAACAGTCTGGAGGCTACCCACTGAGGTATCAGCTCCTCTGTGTTCTGGAGACGAAGCCGCCTCAAAAGGGCATCTACCAGACTGTTCCTCACCCCTCAAAGGTGGTGTACGGTTACAGTACAGTTCTTGCGACAGCTTTGGCTTTTGTGGCATCATTTTCGCCTACTCATGGCTTCATTGTCACCTCAGCATCGCATCATTGTGGCATCAGCTTCGCGTCATTGAAAATTGAAGCTGTGTTCGCTTTGATTATTTGTGGCATCATCGTGGCCTCAGCTTCGCAGTCTCATGGCATCAGTTTCAACGTATTGTGACATGAGTATGACCTCATTATTTGCACGCAGAAGGGCAGTGGACAAAAACATGTACAGAAGTTCGATATGCAATCGATTTGAAATTCAAGGCGAATAAAATAATATGATCAAGAGTAAAATGACATTTTAAAAAGATATCTTGTTTAATTATTTTAGTTTTGCGAGTATTGGGCACCAAAAACTTTGCGAAGTACATTACAATCGGCAAGGTGACGAGTTTCATATTGACTGCAAGGAAAGCATGATAAATTCAAATCACGCGATGCAATCGTCGTTCGGATACAACACAATTTGCTATATATGAAGTGAAACTGTTCTTGTTATAAAATTACCCTTTTTTCGCTCATTTAATTTGCTGCTAAGAGAACAGATTCCTCATTTCGGTGGTATTTTTCTGTGTTTCGTTTAGTTTTAGCCGATCCCATGTCCGGACTACTAAAACATGCAAAACACACGTACGCCGCCTGGTGCGTCGGCGTCGTCGCCAGTCATCTTGATACAAAGTTCCAAAACAAGTGCGTACATTTCCAACATATGATTGGATGGTTGTGGTGGCGTCGGTCTGGTCAAATTTGACAACCAATTCCCAAAATTAAGTCACGATCAGTGATCTGAGCTCGATCTACTTTAAAAACGTACTTTAAAAGTATTTTCACAAACATATTTTCGAATAAAAACGAGCCACATGCCCTGTAAAAAATCGAATAGCGCTTGACATGCAGGAATAATTTATTGGGCTTCAGAAAAAAACGTGTCCATTTAGTTGTAGCCGTAAATATTTGGTGAC